AGGGCTGCAGTTTGAGTCCCAGTTTTTAGCCACTATTTGTTTACATTCTGGTAAATTGTCACCATTTAAAGTAGCTGAATTAACTGTTAGCAGTTCATCCATGGATGTAATGACAACTCACGCCTGGTTACATTGTGACATTGAAGAAAACCTAACATTTCTCTGATTGTTAGGTGGATGTATGGACGTTTCTTCACAATGGAGCTGGAAGACATAAGGAAAATCTCCTTAACTGGCCAAGTATGTTACACACAAGGAATTTGTTTTCGGTACAGAACTGATGGCAACTATCTGCGGTGCCACCGCAACCGTCAGGGACAACAGGGGGTTTAGTATCCTGCCCAAGGACACTTTGGCATGCGGACTGCAGGCACCGAGATTCGAACCTCCAACCTTTTGGGTCAGGAGATGACTGCTCTACCCACCGCACCATAGTCACCTCCCCCAAGACATCGGCCTATAAGTCATACTGAGTGTGTATCATGTCTGTGTTCACATTTGACTGAGTTATGACTCAGAGAAGATGTTTTGATGCAAACTGCAGCAATCTGTGTAGTTTTCTAACGGGGAAACCACAGTACTTCAAAGCAAAGCGTTTTAAAGTAGGATAGCGGTGCAGTGGGGCTGCGTTGGTTGTTTAAGGTACCGGTGAAAGCAATACCAGCAAGTAAATATAAATGGAATCTTATGCAGTGGTGCAATGTAACTAAGTTCATTTACTCAAGTACTGCACTTAAGTACAATTTTGAGGTATCTGTACTTGAGTATTTTCATTTTCTGTTACTTCATTCATTGCATTACTACTTTTACTTAAGTAAAGGATCTTTTACCACTGATTGTATGTGTGCCAAAAGTTCTAAACCTGTATATCACACTTCTTTAAGATGCCTGTTTACTGGGATTCGCTTCCAAATGATTTGTGGTGGGACAAATCCTGCCTGTACAAGGTCGTCTTGAGTTTTAATGTGAGCTCAGAGAAACTTGTCCTCTGCTCATACATCACAGGGTGCCACAGTAAAATAACATCTAAGCAGCACATATTTTTGAGTGGAGGGAGACTTTAAAGCATCGCTGAATCCTGTCCTCACCCAAGCAAAGAGCAGGTTGGTGTGGGCATGACCAGGCCTCAGCAGACGCCTGCAGTGGCTGTGCCACATGAAACCAGGGAGGTTAAAGACAGTACAAAGACTAACCTGTAAAGTTAAGTTCTCATGAACGTCTCCAATTTTATTGAAAGCCACACAGAGCTCACATCCTGTGTTTATTCAGACTCTGCAGGCATTTCACGTCTGTGTGACACAGTGCCTTTGATATCTGGAAATTTTACAATTTTTACTTTCACTTGTTCTCAGCTGCTGCTCAGCGACATAGTTCTCTGCAGCCATTCATCTGTCATCTCATGTTTTTCTGGTTCATGGCCAGAGAGAGAGTCACTGATTAACTGGCCTGACTGTACGCCTCGAGGAAACCGGAGCTCTCAAAGAAACCCAGGTAAATTCACACAGACCATGAAACCGGCCTGGACCTTTTGTGCTGTGAGCTGACTGTGAAAACCATCAATGGCCACTGGTTTTCAGTTTCCAACACTGTTGTGTGTTGTTTTAGAAGACATTCATGTGGCTCAGAGGTTTTGGCTGCAGCCTGAGACTCTTTGAACAGAACAAATAAACCATAACCTGAAATGGGTCGAACAGCAGCTCATCACTTTTTGAAAACAAACCTGCACAGTCACCGTTTCTGGCTGATGTCGTCAACCTACTTTATCTGACCGCACATCTGAACGCTATCACCTGGGAATTCACACTGAGGTTAGTGGCTTCTTTGAACCCTGTGAACATATCAAAAATATATGAATGAAGCACAATTTAGTGAACATTCAGGCAAAAAAACAAAAAATATAAAAGTACAACCAAACACTCTCTCTTAGGGTGATGTTCTGCACCCTAGAGGCTGACAGATCCAAATCCCTCCTACCTTTCTTTCAGGAACATTGTTTTTTAACATTTGAATGATTTTCTCACATGTGTTGTTAAACTGGTGGTCCTCAGCCCATCTTTGCTCCTAAAGGGCTTGGCCTTTCCTGGATGCCACTGTTGTACCAAATCGTGATGCAGTCACCTGTTGACATCACCTGGTTCACATGGAATAATCATTGTTTTACCTCATCATTGGCCCCGAAATGTAGCCGGCCCAACAAGTTTTAATACCACACAAGCAACCAAATAGGGACGATAACGAGCTGATTAGTCAGTGACACTGCTGTTTGTGTTTACACTCAGTTTGGAGTTTCCTCTCCTCTGTCTGTATTTGGCAACACAGATTAGTGTTAAATCAGCTTCTGAGACAGGGTTGCCAGTTTAGAGAGAGTCTTTCCCAGCATGCACTGCACCAACCGCAGAAAGCTCTGACAAACGCTACGTTTGCTGAGCTGTGCTGTTCCTGTGGCGACTTGACCTTGTTACTGCTCAGATTTCCAGGAACTAATGCAGACACAAACATTAAAGGCTCCTGTGTTTCAGCTCTCAAGCAGCTCAGTGCATTCTTCTTCTATGGTGCCAACGTGCTGATGTCTTCACTCTGTCTTCAATCTGGGTCGGTTGCCTCGTGCAACCTGCTGAGGTGGGAAACAACGCCGCACAGTCACCGTTTCCTTCGAAACCATGACCTAGTTTTATCTGACCACAAGATCTAAACATCAAAACCAGTTCCTGCCTGAACAGATCCATTAGTGACATCATCACTGTCACTGTGGGGCATGATGACTTGACGGAGAGAGTAGGCAAAGAGGAGAAGGAGAAGTAGGAAAGGAGGGAGAAGGAAGGAAACTAAGTAGGTCCAGGAAGGAGACGGGAGAAGAAAAATGGGAAACTCCGGTAACTAGGAGGAAGCACAAAAAATAAAGAAATGGAGGAAAAAGAAAAAGGAGAAAGTTGGCAAGAGGAGAAAATAAAGAAAGGAAGAAATTTAAAGGAAATACATAAATATAAAGGAGCAGCACCTGTGGAGTTCCCAGTCTTCAGTGTTAACTGATCATGTGACCTGATTTTTATCAAAATCACAAGTGCAAACAGTCACAGTGGTCTTATGCTAGTGACACAGGCAGCATTGTCGCCGTGCCTTTAATCAACACACCCATTAAACCCTGAAGGTGCTGCTGCAAGAAGTGAGTGACCTCTGACCTTTACGATACAGCCAGTGATTTTCTGTGTTTGTGTTACTGTGCACAAACCCCATCCAGAGACGATCAGCACCAGTAAATGTGATGTCCTACAGTAGTGTGTGAGTCCAGACCCTGGTCCAGCTTATCGCTGTTATCCACCAGCTATTAACACCCCCCACCCCCAGTGAGCCACACTGATGCACTGGGGCGCAGGTTTCTTCACTGGTGTGTGTTTAGTTGTTTGTGGACAACAACTCCACAGCCATCAACAGTTTGCCTGTGGACTGATGAAGACCAGTGTTTCTCTGTAATCCTTTATCCTGATCCCAGGTTTCCTGAGATCTTGTTTAGTGAAGCCTGGCACACACACTCAGTATTTGAATGTTTTTACCTCTGGTCTGGTTCTGGTGACTGGACTGCAGGTTTTGTTCATGTCATTAGGGCTTCACATGTCAAAACAGACAAGAACAACACAATGACGTGTGTGTTATTAGGTGACATAGATTGTTTGTTCATTATTGTAACTTAGATGAAGATCTGAGCAGATTTTAAGACAAATATATACATGATTGCAGGTCATTTGCTTTTTTCTTTCCACTGAAGAAAATAAAGAAGCCAGAAAGAGACAAAGAAGAGAAAGGTATGAGGAGAAATGCAACAGCAGAGGAAAAAGAAGAGGAGGAATGATGGGAAAGAAGACGGGAGGAGAGAAGGAGGAAACAGAGCAAAGACTAGAGGGGAGAGAGATAAGGAGGCCGGATAACACAAACCACAAATTCTGTCTTTACACGCTGTATGACTCCTTCTGTCCTTACACCCTCAAATCGGATCAGGACAAACTCCTCAGAAATACTTTTATGAGAAAGACTGGAAGAAACGTCAGGGAGGCAACAGAGGACAGACAGAAAGGAAAATGTTGTGATCAGGATTACAAAATTGTATATTGTGACCGTTTACAAGGATCTGGGAGGATGAATGACTCTTCCAGGAGCCTCCGACAAACCTGAGCCACACAGCATCTCCGGGAGGACTACGGAAAGCTAGATGGGTCAGAATTAATCTGATTTCCCTGCTGTTCTGTCTGTTATACCAGTTTTAATATCACCAGGCACAGTTTAATAACTCTGTGCTTCTGCCGAGGTGTGTGTACAAACCCCGTCCTGCAAGTGTGTGTCCGTTAACACCCGTGAACCAGTGTGAGGAAATCAAGCAGCCCTTTGATTTATATCAGTATTTTTCCATCCCCTACTGACACAAAGGACCATGGGACATGTGCGAGGTTGTGATCCTTAATATAGTTTGTCTAAAAAGAAAATGCTATTTCCTCACATTTCACTAAGTTCACTGGTGTAAACAGAAGCACACTTGCGGTTTTGCTGCTGTGCAGGACGATGTTCATACACACACCATGACGCCAGCATAGATCTGCAGAGCCACGTCCGTACACGTGGATCATGTTTTTTGGGGACTCTTTATAAATGCCGCCTTGAGATATTAAAACACATATAAAACAAAAACAATGGAAAGCTCAGACGAATTATGGCCCATATGGCTCCACAGACACACAACAGGTAAAACCAGACACACACAGAGGAGAAGGAAACAAACACACATGAGAAAGAAAAAAGGAAGTGAACAAAGAAAAGGATCCAAGAGAGAGAAGAGAGAGGTGATGACTGGGAGACTCCTTGGAAATTTGCAGCAGTGGCTCAGTGATATTAGGAAATTTTGAAACAGAAGAAGAAGAGAGGGGAAGTGGTGACGGGGGGGGAGAGAGGGGGAGGAGGAGGTATAAATGTAGCACAGAGGAGGGAAGCTGCTGCAGTTCATGATGTTTCTCCTCATTGTCAGGATGGCTGCTCTCACTCTGCTTCTCAGCCTCACCTCAGGGCTCGTTACCATGGCAACGGCAGAGCAGGGGCTCACCTGCCGGCAGGAGATTCCCACCGGGCTGATCCGAGACCTGTGGAATCGGACCAAAGTGCTGATCAATAAACTGCCGGTAAGAGCACTAGCTGCTGATCAATAACTCTGAATCACTCACTTTTTTAGACTGTTGATCAACCAAAGATCAATAATCACTCCTGTCTCTCGGTCTGTCAATTTAATGTCAGGTATATTACTTATTGATTATTCTGATAACTGGTATTTTAGTGTACAAGTATTAAATAAACTTTGTCATCAGTGTTTTATCAGTAAAAGATCAATAATAACTCCTGTCAGTTTATTGTCAATTTAATGTCAGTAATATTGCTCTTGGATTAATTGGCCAATTGATTAATATTTTAGTTTGCCATGAATTAAAAAACAATGAGAACTCATTGATTAGTATACTAATCAGTATATCAATTTACTATCAATTAATGGTCAATACCAGCTCATTCTGCCAATCAGTGTCAATAGCCCGAAAAAGCAATAACACTTTATTGCTTATTCTACTGATCAATATGCTAGTGCAACTCTTCATTTATTTCTTATTGATAGTCTTATAATCAATGTGTCAGTTTATCAGCTGTCAGTAATACTGTAACTTATTGATTAAGCTATCAATTATTATTTTAATTTACTTGACATTAAAGATCAATAATTTGTATGAATTAGCCTGCTAATCAATAGGTCACTTTACTATCAATTATTAGTTCCTATTTATTTGTGTGTCAGTGTGCCTGTTTACTGTCAATTAAAGGTCAATAATAACTTTTATTGATCAGTTTTCCAATCAATATTTCATGTTGGAATTACTCTTATTGATTACCCTACCAATCAATACATCAGTTTAAAACCTTTGAGGGTCAGCTCTTATTGATTTTTGTTCCATTAAGTATGTCTGTTTACTATTAACTAAGAGTCAGTAATATCACTTATTGATTACTTTATTGGTTAGTGTGTCAGGTTAATTAACTGTCAATTAAAGGACAGTAATAACAGTTTTTGATACTGTTTATTATTGATCAGTCTGAAAATAAATGCAAATGGAGTAAATGTATCAATAAATCCCTGTTAAGTTCTCTATTAATCAATACGATGTCAGTCCTCAGAGGTCAGAATGTCAATGAATCAGCAGTTCGCTGACAAGCAGATCAATAACTACTAATGTGTTTTCAGTGTGTTTTCAATTGACCAGAGTTGGTTATGGACATCAGTATCAGTAACTTACCAATAACCTTTCATGCTTTTCAGTGAAACTCAGAAGTGTTCAAACTACTAATTGATCAGTAATGATCAAAAACAGAGAAACGGTTCTTTCAAAATAAAGGTCCTCTTCATTAAGTGCATACAGTGTTTGATCTGCTCTGATCGTCACAGATTTAGAAACGATATGGTTTCACATCAGTCTCTAACAGGTGATAGTGATGACTAATTCTGAGTGGCACGATTTTCCAGTTGCCAGGAAACATCCAACAGGAAGTGAAAGTGTGAAAAGCTGCAGTTTTTAAACCAGATCAAAGCTCATGATCAGATCAGACATTTTCTGACTGACACATGAAGCACTTTTAATTCACAGCTGAAGAAAATGATCACGCGACTCACTTTTACTGCCAGTACACAGTCAGACTAGTGCTGCTGCTGTGGCTACTTTTTAAAATACTACATTAAAATACATTTACTCAAGTACTACGCTTGAGTGCAATTTTGAGGTACTTCTACTTTACCTGTCTATTTTCAGCCACTTTTTTATTTCATTACATTTCAGAGGGCGATAATATATTTTAAAGTACTACTACAGTGTAATACTCCAGAAAGGGCCATTATACACAATGAGTACTTTGATTGTTGATCGTTTACATACACAGTATTTTACATAAATTTTGCTCATTATGTTTTAATTTTATATATATTTTTACTGGAGACCAATTTTTACTTCCGTATTTTGTACTGGCTATTTTTATATCGTAGTATTAATACTTTTACTAAGGGCTCTTTTCACCATGGACAATCACCACATTTAGTACTGATGATACGTACAGTTAATATAGAAAATTAGTTCATCAGAAGTGTCATTTAACTGATTTGTAAAATATAGTAATTAAACAAGTCATCTCATATTGGCTGACCCAGATGTTTGGGACCAAAAATCTTAATTCAAGATCCACTTACTAGTCTTTTTGGAGCTTTCAGTTACACCTCAGTGTCTGTAAAAGCAGATGGTCAGTTGGAGATGGAGAATCTTTTATTTTAGTGATTCCTCACAGACATTAAAAAAGAATTAAAAGATGACATCAAAAGATAAACCTGTATAATAGTGAGTCACTAATGAGTGTTTTGTAATTGGTGTTTTCATCTGCAGAAGGAAGAAAACGTCTCCAGGCGACTGAGGCTGTTGCCCAAGTTCTGCACCAAATGTCCCGAGGTCAGTGAACGTGTCTGACTCCGCTCCTTCTCTCTGGGGACCAGTTTGTCCACTTAGCTCCTGACACCATTGCACACTGTAGAAAAACTATTATGACTGACTTCATGTCTCTAGTGAGAATTTGTAATTTTTTGAATGAAGCCTGGTGCTGCACAGTGTAAGTGGAAGTAGTTTTGCTGAGGTTTCAGCTTCCAGCGCGGATGGTGTCCGGTTGGTGTACCTCAACCACAACCACACATATAAACTGTGTCTAACCACAACATAACGCATTCTGCACACCCCGCCTTCTCTCTGTAATGTCTTCACACTTTCCGTTATATGTCAAACCAATGTTTTGCTGGTATTTCCACACATGACATACAGTAGCTGACATCCCTGTTCAGTCAAATATCCTGTTTGCATTTTGCAGAGGAAGTATTTGACCTGTGGTGTTCCTGGACAGAATTCCACTGTTTTATTGTTACCCCCAGGGTGTAATTGGTGTAATTAGAAACCCCCTGACAGAGTTGATTTGTTGTAGAGGCTTTGTGATGACAATGGAGAGCTGAAGTCTGATAGTAGCTATGGATCAAGTTTCTGCAATCTAATGGGTTTTCTCGCAGAGCAGGGCTTGTCAAAGTGTCTGTGAGTGTATGTTACAGTTTACAGCCACGTTAGTCCACCGCTTTGATCCAGGTTGATACAACTGACCAGCTCCAAGCTAATCAACAATGGATTGCCTTGAAATTTGGTTTAGACTTTCAAGTTTCCTTCCAGATGAATTGTAAATACTCCGATGATCCTCAAAATTGAGTTGTTCCAGTACCTTGTAACTGTTTCCATCAGCCTCAGCTGTAGTTTGTGTTTAGTGCTTAGGAAATGTGTGCATGCTAACATGCACAACTAAGACAGTAACCATCAGACCTGCCAAACATCAACATGCTTGCTTTAGATACTGTATTTAATTCTGGACCAAAGCCGAGGGCCGAGTAAAGAGCAACACGCTGCTAGTGTGGCTGAAAACAAGCAGGACTTGTGTGCACGATGACGCACTGTGTAAACACACTGTTTCTCCTCAGCGTGTGGTCGGCTGGCTCGAGATGCGGGAACTGATTGACATCTACCAGAGGAGCGTGTTCAGCAGAGAGGTTGTCCAGAAGCTCCTCCCCCTCCATTACAATGACCTGCTGTATCGACTGCAGCACACACTGCAGCGCTGCGTGAGTACACAACTGTAAACACACAAATGCTCAGATACATACACATTATACTGTACTCTGACTACTCTGTCTTTGTGTTCAGGTTTATTCCTCTAAACCTTCAAAATGGCTCAAAATCATCACCAAACTGGAGAGGAAAATTAAAAAGGTAAACAGTTTTGTTTTACTACACTTACTGCTGCTCCTTATTCTCCTCTTTTCATTGCTGCTAATGGTACTAACAGGGTGCTGTTGCTGCTTTTTGCCACTGCTATTGCGTAGTGATAGAGAGATGAAGTCTGCTGAAGCTTCAAGTGACCATGAAACCACCTAGTGGTCAGAAGATGGCAGTGCAGGGATTATTGTTCAGTTCATGTGTAGAAACAGACATTGGAGCAGCATGTTGTGTTGTGCTGTTTGTAGTTCCATCTGTAAAACGGCCGACATACATTTTTCATAATGTATGAATCAGGTTTGAGTCCTATATCACTAGTAATATTATTGCCTCTTTCTGTAAGTGTGTGACTGCATTACAGTGTTTAAAGTCCAGGTAAAGCAAAATCAGTGGTTTGTTTCTAAACACATTATCTGTGTCAGAAAACAATTGTTGAAAACATGTTAAAAGACTGAGAAATATGTGTTGCTGAATTGTGTAGTTAGACCATTTCATCATGTTTGAGTTCAAGATATTTTGGGCGGGGCAGAAAACGTGGCTCAAAGCACTGGAGCATCCTTGACATAACTCCCCCCTCCCGCACCTGTAATCTTATAAAAGCTAGAGTGCACAGAGCTCTATGCCTGCGTTTGTGCTCGATATGAGCACAGATGAAGATTTACAGCCTCAGTTATGTTTGTTAAAAGAAATAAGATTAATGCTGCTGCCTCAGTATTAAACAATGACAAAAGTAGGAACACGTGAACGGTGAATGTGTTGAAGCGGGTCTGAACCAACTGTAGTTGGTTGAAGGAGAGAGGGGAGATAATGGATGCACAGCGGACCATGGAGCTGCTGCTGCACTGGACAGATCAACACAGCTAGCTGTTAGCTGTTAGCCTAACAAACTCGCAGACTGTGGACAAAGCTTAAAGTTTCACTTCTCTGCAAGTTTATGCTTGTTTAGCAGGTGCTTTGCTAAATTACTCCAACTGGCTGTTTGCTCAAAGGTTTTATTGTAAGAGCATTAACAAACATACAGCTCCCTGTCTCCACAGCTAGACAGCAGCCACCTGCTCCCTGTGTGTGTGTGTGCCTTTGTATTACTAACATCACGAGGACCAAAACCTGTTAACACGCTCACACTGTGGGGCCTCGGCCAGAAGGTAGTCCCCACAAGGAAATCACTGAATTTTAGGGTGGCAACATGGTTTAGGGTTAGGATGAGGTTAGGTTAAGTGTTAGGTGTTACTATTAGGGTTAGGCAAGTAGGTTAGGATAAGTCTACAGGAAATGAATGTAAGTTGATGTAAAGTCCCCACATTGAATGAAAACACAGCGTGTGTGTGTGTGTGTGTGTGTGTGTGTGTGTGTGTGTGTGAGAGCTGAGCAGCGTGCTGTCATTTAAACACCGACAAAAGGAAGAAGCAGCTCGATAAACACCAAAACCATATTTCTAATCTGACTCAGTGGCCTTTGATAAAGAGCCCTAGCGCATTAGCACCAGTTCTCCTGTTTGATTGTGAGTTACTATGTCTACAACAGCCTACCCTACAGTTTGCTAGGTAGTTATGCCTTCACCCTGCAATGCATCTTTCCTACATGTGCTCCCTTAATATATTTATCATGAGAACAGTTGGCACATCTCTGCGGTTTGGTTTGGCGTGGTCACATTAGTTGTTCTTACACGAAGATTCCACCGTTCCAAAGGGTCGCCAATATCCCACCCTTGTTCTGTTCATACTGATCACGCTATGGTGGTCTAATCACAAGATTCTGATTCTGATTCTGAAGCCAACCTGTGAATTCAGACAGCGGGCCAGGATTCCGCAGCAGAGGCAAGACATGACAACTGTAACGTAAATTATGTGCTGCTAGTCTACAAAGCAAAACAACAATGGCAGGAGAGATAAGTGCAGACCAGAGGCGGAATGAGAATGGCCCATCATTCTGGCTTTGCACCTTACACACAAAAAATGAGACGGAATAAAGGTGTACCAGTCCTACCTCGAAAAAGTGGCGTGTAAGGAGATATTGTCTTCACCCGACACGCCCAAAGCATTTCAGAGCAGAAAATACTCCTTATTTTTTCATGATTTTGGTTAATAACACATCTTCCTGTGGTGTGACAAACTTAGAACACGTTAATCTGCACTTTACCCCGACTTTAAGTTTTCACCTTCAGAAATACACTCACTGGCCACTATATTAGGTACACCTGTACAACTGTATGCACTTTAGTGCAGTACTTCCACCTTAACATCTGTGTTTAGCTCAACATGTTTCAGTTTTTGGTGAAATTGTCATCAATGTATAAATTAAATTATATGGTTACTACTGAGGTCGTAGTTAAAGGTGGTGTTGTACTGGACTACATTATATTTAAAGGTGTTCCTAATATTCTGACCCTTTCATGTATGTAGCTGGGGAGGACAAAAATATAGAGAGCTACTACTGCTACCCATACTACATTTATTACTACTTCTACTGCAAAGGCTGCTACTGTTGCTGTGGCTACTGCTAATAGATATACTTCTAATGCTATTTCCAATACCACGCTTACTGCTCCTGCTGCTACTACAAAGGCCACAGCTTCTGGTACTGAAACTGAACCTGCTCCTACTACAGTTGAGTATAATACTGTTACTACTTTAAATACCAATGTTGCCTCTGTTGCTACAGTCATTCCTATTTTTACTACTGCTGTGACAACTACTGGCTCTAATTTTGTTTCTGACACTGCTGCTGATACTGCATCCATTAATACTACAACTGCACCAGCTATTGTTACTAGTAGCTATTGTTATTGCTACTACTGTGTAGTACTGTAAATGCATCATAGTGCTTTACCCGACAATGAAATAACAATACAACTTGGAATGTTTTTACACTCTGCTTCCTGTTGCAACACAAATGTCACAATGATAAAATAGATCTGATTGTCTATTTGGTCATTATCAATATATAATCCCAGAACTATCAGTAAAAATATACAACTAATACTTAACAACTACTGACAACTACTGGCTCTAATTTTGTTTCTGACACTGCTGCTGATACTGCATCCATTAATACTACAACTTAATAGTATCGCTGTTTCTGCAGAAAAGAAGAGATGAAAAAGCACTGAAAGCTGTCGGAGAGTTCATTTATGTCCTCAGGTGGATTGATGAACTGGCACATCATCGTCATCATCATCATCATTACTAACCTCAGCATCATCAGTGTTGTGGTCAGCATCATCATTTGGGCTCACTGTTTTCAGTTTTTTATTTGAAAAATCAAAGTTAATTTTTGTATTTTTAAAACATGGACTTTGCAGCAAAAACCTTTATTTGAACCGTTTATTATTTTCATCATTAGACTGAAAGAAATGCAGCAGCTCAACTGTTTTTTTTTAAATAAATTTTCTCCGCATGTTTTTCTTCTGGACACACTGACTGGTTTTGTGTCAGCAGGACACGTGAGAACAGTTGAATGTGCCAGAAGCTAAACTCCATTTAAAACTGATCTTACTTTGGAACAAATGTGGTACAAACTGAAAACAGTGAGCCTCACCCACAGCTGTGTAGCTGGGAGCTTCTGAAACATCTTGAATCTTTTAGGTGTTTTACATTTGTATCAGTGTAGCTTTATTTACAGAATAAGCTGTTTTTCAGAAAATATTTATTGTTGTTGAGTATTCACTGTAGTTTCCAGAATGTTGGAAGTACTTCAAACTTTAATATATTGAACGATATGAAGGAAGGTATTTTTATATGAATTGTTGTTGCTGTATTTACAGTATATGAATTTGTCAGATTCTGGGTGAAATAAATGAGATATTCACCTTTATTCCTGTGAACTGGTGTCGGTTTTTAACTGAGAGCTGACTCCCTCTGCTGGTCACATTGTGACAGCACATGAGTGTGTGCATGTGTGTGCTGTGTTTCCTGATGAAGGAGAAGAAGGAAAAAGAAGGAAATGAAAAATAAAAGCAAAGAAATAAAGAGAATATCTCTAAAAATGAGAGGAGAGGAAAAGACCAAATGAAAAAGAAAAGACAAAAGACAAAAGGAAACATTTTGTTGTAGGAGGATTTGGAGTTTCAGTTTTCAGGACAGAAATTTCTCTGAGTTCATGGAAGAATTAAAGGAACAGTTCACCTAAAAGCAAAACTGAGTCACGCTCAGCTCCTTCACCTGTCAGTGGAAACTCCCGCACAAATCTTTGGGACAGCTGCCGAAACCCACGGTGAGATCTCCGCCCCCCCCCCGCACTGACACCACACCGCACTGAATGCATCATCATTGTCGTCTTTGTGCTGAGTCTGCTCCGCATTTGAATATTCACATTATCCCTGTTCAGGATGAAAAAATATGTCCAAAAGCCAGAACAGAGCGCTAATGTTTCAAAGCTCCTATATTTTTCTTTGTGCAGCACATTCCCGCTTCAGTTCAATTTCAGTGTTTCCAGCAGCAGCAGGAAGCAGCTGTTTTTAGAGCAGACGTTCTAAACAGTCGCTGTTCACGACCTGCTCAGCATCAGCCAGCAGACAGAGCTGGTCAGAGACCAGCTGGGGAACACAGTGGAGTGTTTAGCAGCTCCAGAGCCAGAGGTTTCCCTCAGGAGGTGGTGGAGACCAAACCCAGAGCAAACAGAGAGGGAGCACTGGGCTGAGGCTCATCAGGGGGACACGGACACACTGTGCACGGAGGAGCATGTAGCGTGAGGCCAGGTTGATTTCTTGGTACACTAGGGAAGATTTGTCACATAATTCAGCGAAAAGTGATACCACAAACTGTTGTTTGCTTGTTGCTGTTACCATGGTCACTCAGTAATGCTGGCTAGCTGGTAGAGTTCAGGTAGCAACACATTTCAATTTACAGTATTGTTTGTTTCAGTATGTCTGAACTGTGTATTGTGCGGCTGTATTATATACTGGAGAAGCATAAATTGTTAATATTGAGTCTGATTTGAATTAAAGGTCATGACAGGTTTATCGGGGAATCCCTAGAAATTTTTCTCCTCATAGT